GCACGCGTATCAACTAAAAATGTTAAAAGAAGAACATCAGATAAATAACAATTAAAGTTTACAATTAGAAAACTTGAGAATAATTTAAAAATAGTGTGGGTGTTAAAGTATATTTTTGTTGATTTTTTTTACTTCCGCTCGTGCAAACTATTTTTTTGTTTTCGTTTTTGTTTGCAATTTCTTTTCGTTTTTGCTAATTTAGCTTAGATTGCATGCCAAAATTTTCAAGTTCAACCACATCAACGCTGATAATTGGCGCATTTCCGAAATACTTGAAGAGCACGCTTACGCTAAATGATTGCAAGCACTATAGTACTATTTTTTAATCGTTTTAAATATGAAAAACTTTTATGGATGCGTAGTTAGTCGTTTACTTTTCACTCCCGCTCCTTACCGACTGTTTACAGATGAGCATCAGTCGATGCCGCACAAATGCATATACCACATTCCTTTTCCGATACAGCAATGATTCCAATTCGCACATCGACATGGTTAACAATTTTTTTTTTACTTTTTTTAACTTAATAAATTTTTAATTTTATTCAAATGTGTTTTTGACTCATTTTCGGATGGCCAATGAAGAAGAAATAGCGCCTCTTTACAAGTACCTTAAAGGTACTTTAAAATTATTTGTGTCTTTATGCTGGTCGCACTTGTTGGCATCGCTAACGCTGGCAGAAGACTGAATGCATTTTCCGTCATCCGCACGGCATTGAACTTGGTTTCGACCAATTTTCTTGTAGCATTTAGATACTTTAATAGTACATATCGCCGTTTAAAGTACAAAACCGCGTATAGTCGTTTGCAAAACCGCGTAACTGACAGCTGCTGTCAAAAATAAGATTTGCTCATTCAAGCTCTTGGCTTAATCCTAATCCATTCGTCCTGAAATATACTAGCCAGAAATGCGATTGCTTTATAAACAAGTAATTTTTAGCAAATATATATACCTCTGATCCACTGATCGGATCTTAACCAGATTAGTATGGGACCACCTGAGACACTACCTTTCCGATGCAAAAATAATTATCGAAGTCGGTTGACGTGGTCCAAAGTTATGCGGTAACATACATAAAAAAAATAAAAAAAATATTCCGACGAACTGATAAACTCCTCCTTTTTTGGAAGTCGGTTAAAAAAAAGGGGACCATTTTGAAATATGAGTGTTTTTACTCTCTAGAAAATAATTTATGTAACCTCACATACGCGGTTTTGCATTTTGTTGATACGCGGTTTTGTACTTTAAACGACGATATATATGTATGTATGTTTTCATCGCTTATCTACGTTTTAATTGCAGAAGGATTTTATTTGAATGATTAAAGGCGTGTAACAATATAAATATGTACTATGTTAATATTAGAAAAAGGCTGTTGGAAGTTGGAGCATTAGTTTGGAATGTTGAGTTCTCGTGCTATTTAAAAAAAAAAATCGTTACATTTAAATAATGCAAAAGTTTTTGTATTCTTTTTTATAGTTTTCTAAATAATAATTTCATTTATATTGCTTATGCTTGTTATAAATGAACGATCAAAACAAAAAACAAAAATTTTTTACCCTCCTCTGCCAAATAAACAGTGGAAAAGCTTCTTACATGCATTTGTATACAGATAGATATGTACATGGGACATAAATTGCTCGCGCATTCAAAGACGCGCAATATTTTGACCAATGTATTACATATGTAGTTGTGGGTGGGCAAGCAGTGGGTGGTTCAGCGCGACAAGCGGCTTGTTACACCTCGTGTGACGATGTCGATTCAATACAACAGTTTGCCAGAATTTTGACATTACATTCGCGATTATTTGTAGATAATCTTTTTATTTTGCAACTAGCCGGAGAAGTTATTTAGTTGTCCCGACAGTCTGCCGGCCAACATAATACGTATGTATGTACAACCTTGTCGGCTTGTGTATTACACCTTATTTGTAGTAAGTTTGTTTGCTGCTGCTGCTGCTGCTGCTACTACTCCTGACGCTTTTGTTAATGCTCAGGCTTTTGTTGCTACTGCTGCTGCTACTGTTTTGCAGCTGTGTAAATAATTCTGAGGATGGTTTCGTACTTTGCCGGTTTTTCTCTGTCGATTTTGAATTTTGCCGGCATTAACCGGCTGCCGGCAAAAGTTGATGCAAATTAGCTTGTAGCATCAGCTGATGGGGTGAATATTTCTTGTACGCGAAAAGCACATATGTACATTGCACATATCGTCCAATAATGCTGAGTAATAAGCGTGAAATAGTTGAAGCTTTTGCGTCTACTTCAACGAATAAATTATGATTAATGTTCATAAAAAAGCAACTGCAACAATTTGCCGGCCGCAGCTTCCATTTAACTTGACAGCGCCGATGGACACGGCATCCTTTCGATTGCAATTTTGTGGTTTGACCAATACAAAACAAAGCAAATCAATACAGAAAACAAAAACCTTTGCAAAATAAACAAATTATCACTAAACGTATAAAAACAAAACTTACAATTTTATCGCCAACGCTGGTTTTTGACATCTTCACTCACAACGTCCGTCAGTTTGTTTGGCTGAATTTCGCACTTGTTTTTGCAGTCGCCTTTATTTAAATATCGCAAACGAATTTTATACAATAAATTCCAACTGGCGCTGGTTAAACTAGCACACAATCAGCGCAGACAGACAGACAAAGGCGATTTGCGGCACAAATAAAAATATTAAACACACAAGAAAAAAATCGCAAATTCACGACCACGGCACGGAGAACTGTCATTTACTTTCTAACTGTCAAACACGGCAGTGGTGCCAGCGTGTTGGAAAATCAAATGCCAAAACGTTGGTGCATGACTTTGCTAAGATGTTTATGAAAATTTGTTATAAACATTTACAGCGGTTAGGCAAGCATCGAAAATTCACGTATAGTATTTAACTATTTGATAGAAACCAAGAACGTAAATCTATCGCTTGACGATTTTGGATACCATCATCCATGTCTGATTAGCTTCTTCGTTAGTCACTTCTTAAATGACTTCGTTATTATGGACATTTGCAACTCGTCCAGCAACAATGTTTCT